TAATCCACATTAAAAGAGTATATTTACAGTGAAATATTCAAAGCAGAGAGAGGTATACTTATCATAATAGCGACATAATCTTTTTGTAGGAAACTTCAAAGTCTGAACATAAATCTTGGCAAGGAATATCCACTGAGCAAACCATTTCATGACATTCTCAACAAGCTGGGCTTGAGAGATATCTTTGCACCAGCTTGAGGGGGAGTGTTAGAATAACATATTATTAGTTGGGTTATTTTTTAGATTGTAATTATTCTATGCCTTAGGGCTCTCTTGTAATTATTAATCTTCATTAATATAAAAGGGGGATGATATCACAGTCATTCCTTAATCTTGGTATTCTCTAAATTATCAATTTCCTATTTGGGCCTTCCTTTGGGGGTGACTTTCAAGGCGAGGGGTGGTGTGGGATGGGGTGGTGGACCGAGAGCAAAGGCGATTGACGGGGCGGAAGCGGCAGTACCTATCCAAAAGTGGGCGGATTACTTTGCTTAAGAGTGTTTTGTCTAGCATTCCGACCTATTTCATGTCGGTGAATGTGACTCTTGTAGCGGTTGCTTAGCAGTTGGAGAAACTTCAACGGGATTTTTTGTGGAATTTGGGGGGGGGGGGGGGTTTCCATTTACTAGAAAACAACTCATCTAGAAATATGGGTTACCTTTAGCCCGCCATCTCCCTCAATCTCTCTTCGTCTAATTATTTCTTTGCCAATGATGGCCTCCTCTTCTCCGTGGCAGCAGACTCAGTCAATCTCTCTTCATCTACCTCTTTTTCTACCAATGTTTGTTGCCTCTTCTCAGTAGGCCCATCTCCATCAGTCTCTCCCTATTTGCCTCATTTGCAAATGATCATCCCCGTACTTCACGATGGTTTTGAGAAAAAATAAAATAAAATTGAAAAGCAAGGGATATTTGACAAACATAAGGTGTGCTTTTACAAAATTGATGGTTTAATTTGTGAAATTATTTTAGAATTAGGGTTCAAAATTTAATTCAAGGTTTATTTTTTTGCCATTTAATTGATGGCTTCAATTGAGGATTTATTATTAGAATGGGGTTTCTCTCTCAAACTGTACAAGATTATGGATCTGCTATTGGGGATTTACTATATATATCTCAAATCAACCACATCAACCACCCAATGGTCAACGATGTGCTAAAGTTAAGAAGGACTTTCTGTCAGTTTAGGTCCCATAGCAATACAAAACCGACGTGGTCAGTTTAGGGGCAATCTCTCCAAAACCTGACCAGATCGAACCAAAACGCTTACACCCTAATTTCAGAGATAGTACGAGCCATAGTGCAATACTCAACTTCATCAGCACTCAAACAAGTAACAACATTTTGTTTTTTAATATAACAACTAGCAAGGTTGCCTCCAATACATGTACAATATATAAGAGGTTGAGCCTACCAACCCAATCAGCATCATGAAAGTTTAAAATCATTTGAAATATAAAAAAGCACATCAAATTGCTTCAAAAAAATCACCAGAATTACCAAGAGAACAAGACAAATCAGACCATGTAGTTGCCAACCATCAACATCTGTAGTCATCATACAGATGATGACATGACTGTTCTTTAATTCCACTGAAAAGCATTATTCTTTACTGAATGATGAATTTTATATTCAATTCAATAATAAAAGTGGCCAAATTTGGGTTCTAAGAACGTTGAGAAAAAGAATAGTATCTAATGACAACGACAGACATGTAAACGACCCCAAAATCCGTATCCGAAATTACTTTTATGCCCTTGTGGGTTAATGCATTTTAATTTAATGATATCTGTTTGAATTGAAGCATTATCTGTTGAGTTACGACTTTAAAGTTGAATTGCCAACCTTTATGGGTTCAGAAATCGGAATTGAGTGCATGGATATGTTAATGGGAATTTTTAGAGCTATTTGGGAAAATTAATTGGAGATTTAATTAGTCTGATTCGTTAGTACATGTTTGGGTGGTTAACTTTGTACTACAAATTGAAGACCTTAAAGACTTTAGAAACCAGAACAGAGGACATATTTATAATCAGCGTAATTTTTAGAGTCACTTGGGAAGTTTAATTGAAATTTGATTTTGTGCGATTTGTAAGGGCGTGTTTGGCCCTTCCTATTTGTGAAAAGCTTATATATATATATATATGCTATATGAGTTGTTCAACTCAACCTTTGAGCCAAGAAAATATCTAAGGAAAGAAAAATTTGGAGAGAGCAAGAGAGAAGCAAGAGAAGAAGAGAAAACTTGAGAATGATGAAGAAATCAAGGATTTGGCTTGAATTCATCGTGGTTATACAAGAATAAGTGATGGTAAAGGCTTAAGGTAAATTCTCCCTCCCAATCCTTGAAGATCATAAACTAAAGAATGAGTTTCTTGGGTTATCTATGATTGTGTGTATGGGTCTTGTTTCTTCAAGTAAGAAAATGTTGAATCTTTGAATATGACATGAATTATGTTACAACTTAGTTTCTTGTAGGAATTTTATGGTTCTTAAAGAGGCTAAAGAGGATTCCACCATACAAGTGAGCTTTGAACCCCAAACCATGGCTACTTTATGCTCTTGTGTTTTTTTAAATCTTAATCTTGTTCTTATGCTTGGGAATTTGAGTAGTATTTTGAGGTTATGATCTTTGATGGAAGCTAATAATGTGAAATTTATCATGTATTAAAGAGTTTTAGGCTTTGATTTACATGAAATTGGGGTTCGATTTTGAAAATGAGAGGTTCCAAATTATGCAGCCATTTTCGGACTGCAAATTGCCCAGAGCCGCACGTGCGGCGGGTCTTCCCACACATGTGGCAGTCCAGTCCCAAAACCAAATTTGATTCTGCTAAAAAGGCACGTAGTCCCGCACGTGCGGCCCCATTCCCGCACGTGCGGGGACAGCTCTGTCCAGCTAACTTTGGACAAACATATCTCTTGCATCCGGACTCCGTTTCGAGTGATTCTTGAGCCTAAAATCAAGCCCCGGAAGTCTAGTTTCCAATGGCGGTAGTCTCACTCCCAAATTCTAAATACAGAAATAGTTATGCCTAAATTAGTAACAACTGTTCACTTTCTGTTTACCAGTTTGTGCCGTCTCTTCGCTTAAACCATTTTCCATCGATTCCTCCTATTTTTTGAAACATGGATTATAACTTATTAAGGAATAATGAGCTTGGTATCACCATGGCTAATTGATTACATGATCAAAGAGAATAAATAAAGGATCGATTATAATCTCATATTATGTGTTGTGCACTATGCTTGTAGGTCGAGACGAGGACATCGTCCCATTACTACCGGGAGCCGATCACTGTGAGTAATAGTAGTGTAACGATATGTTTCACTTACTTCCAGTGATTATGATTTATGTATTGTTATTTGTGAATGGCCTATTCCATTGATATTGTGCTTTGATTAAATTAATGGATATGATTGAATAATGGCATTGATATGGACCTAAGGTCGTTCTGTCCCTAGTAATAGACGTGGGCCCGAGGCCGTTATGATGTGAATTGTTTTGTCCCTATTAATGTAGTGATACATTTGCCTTCTGTTAATAGCTATTATTAATGTTCTGTTATTCGCAAGACAACTATGTCGACTTATAATAAACGTGCACTATTGAGTAATGGTATTCTTAGACTTGAGGCCATTCTGTATAATCTGTTGGGCCTGAGGCCATTATGTATAATCCATTGGGCCTGAGGCCGCTCTGTATAATCTGTTAGGCCTGAGGCTGCTCTGTATAATCTGTTGGGCCTAAGGCCACTCAGTATAATCTATTAGGTCTAAGGCCGCTCTGTATAATCTGTTGGCTTGAGGCCGCTCTACATAATATGTTGGGCGTAAGGCCGTTTTGTATTCTGCATGGGCCTGAGGCCAGTCTGTATTACATATGGGCTTGAAGCCAGTCTGTATTACATGTGAGCCTGAGACTATATTGAAATATAGTTATGGATAAGACCTGTGTATAGTTTGGTATCTGTCTATTTATTTTATCCAAGGTTTTGCTTATTCAATTAACCTCCTTACATTGCTATTATTCACTGAGCCTTGCTCATTCCGTTTTATGTATATTTCTGTAGGTGAGCTATCGGAGATTGACACTAGAGTTGTACTGAGACTCGCCTGTCTGCCAAGTCACTTGGGGTATGCCTCCGTGTGGAGGCCTTAATTTGTGTTGGGAGTCATAAATTATTAAGTCTTATGTAAGTGTGTGTGAGATCTATATAAATTCTGTGATCGTACATGTATATATGGGAGTGTATTTAAATGCTTAAATTTAATTAAGCCATCATGTATACACTAGCTCAATGGATGTTGTCTTTTATTAATATTGCTTCCGCTTAAGGCACCGTATTTGGTTAAATATTATTTTAAAATTCTGTTTTGAGGCCTATGTACAGGCCGGTCATAAACCAAACTTTTAGGGGCGGGTTTGGGTCGTGACAGGACAAATAAATGGGCATCTCTGCTTGTCTAAATTATTTGCACAGCAAGGCTAGGTTTTTAGGTGGAAAAGTTTTTTTCATTGCAATTACAGAAGAAACATGGCAGATGATGCAAATATATGATTCAAGTACTCCCTGTGCAACTTTGAAAAATGATTATGATTATGCTCTTACATGTTGTTGCTGGTTAAGCATCAACTACTGCCCCTAACAGCAATATCTTCTGCACAAGTATTAATTGAGCAAGCTTCAGCTATTTGTTCAAGTATCTATGTCCACAAGTTACCAAGTTCAAGAAAGAGTCCTAAAACCGCCATATCACCAAATGGTAGCAAGTTCACTTCATATTTATTTTCCTTCACTTCATTTTCTAACCATATAAAAGCTTTAAGAAAATTTATTTCCTACCAACCACATAAAATATGATAATTAAAAAACAAAACAAAAAAAATAGAAAAGCAGACAACAGTGCAAAGAAACATTAATCAGTAAGAAAGTCTATTATAATCCACATTAAAAGAGTATATTTACAGTGAAATATTCAAAGCAGAGAGAGGTATACTTATCATAATAGCGACATAATCTTTTTGTAGGAAACTTCAAAGTCTGAACATAAATCTTGGCAAGGAATATCCACTGCTGCTGAGAGGACTCAAATTCAATGTACTTATCCCAGAGGGGATAACATAAGTAGTCCTTTCCAACAAAGGACATTGCTCTTTTAAATAATCTGCAGGTTAAATTTGGAAAAGTATTAGTAACTGAGATAAATAGAAAATACTTAAATTACAAAAGCACCACATTATCTGCAACAGGTGGATGTTGAAAGGATTCACTTGGATATTTCCTCTTGTTACTGAAAGTGAGGTTTTTTCAAAGCTTTTGCTCTTTAAGTCATATGCAGACACTAAATTTGACACCACTCTTAACATTTTCAGAACTTATGGTGATGGTGAGTTTGACAATCACAGATTTCATGATTATCTTTCTTCTCAGTATTTGTGACAACCAATCATTCATGTACGACACATATCATATTATTCTTGCATTCATGCCTTGTGTGTTATGCTTTCTGTGAATTAGGACATGCTAAGGACTAGAGTAGAAGAAGAAGTTAGTTTGAAAATTAAGTGTAGGAAAATTATTTGTTTTGAGCCTTGAGTTAGGGAACTTATCTTGAACTTGAATGTTGAATACTTAGATGATTCAGAAAACCTTAAGTGAGGAGCTTAATGATCTTAGTCTAACGAGTAGAGTTTAATGGGTACTTAATTAAAAATTAAGGGATTAACAAAAGTTAAGAAGGATTAACTAAAGCTTAAGTAGGATTAATTAGACTAATGAAGATTAAGGATTAAGCATGGTTGTCTGAATCGTACGATTCGCAATACAAGTCATACGATTCAATACGAGTTTTGCATATGGCAATATGAATCGCAAGTAGGAATCAGAAATCTACTAGAATCGTGCGATTCAAATATGAAATTGTAAGAATCGGAATGAATCGTCGATATTTGCGAATCTTGACCATTCAGTTCGCTCTTTTTTATTTGGCTTACAGCACTATAAATCGAGATTGTTTGGTGTCTTTAACCCCGAAGAAAAAATAAAAAACAAAGAAGAAGAAATCGTCAATACATACCAGGATGACAAAACGAAGAAGAAGACAAAATGGTAGAAGAAATCGTCGATACATACCAGGATGAAGTTAGGGCTTAACGAATAGAGGATTCAAAGTCAATTAATGAAGAAATCGAGGAACAGAAGTCTCTTTTCTACCCAAAATCTGAAGATATGCAATGTTTATTTGATGGATGATTTTCTACTCATTGTCGTTTTCATGGTCTCATAGTTTAATGGGTACTTAATTAAAAATTAAGGGATTAACAAAAGTTAAGAAGGATTAACTAAAGCTTAAGTAGGATTAATTAGACTAATGAAGATTAAGGATTAAGCATGGTTGTCTGAATCGTACGATTCGCAATACAAGTCATACGATTCAATACGAGTTTTGCATATGGCAATATGAATCGCAAGTAGGAATCAGAAATCTACTAGAATCGTGCAATTCAAATATGGAATTGTAAGAATCGGAATGAATCGTCGATATTTGCGAATCTTGACCATTCAGTTCGCTCTTTTTTATTTGGCTTACAGCACTATAAATCGAGATTGTTTGGTGTCTTTAACCCCGAAGAAAAAATAAAAAACAAAGAAGAAGAAATCGTCAATACATACCAGGATGACAAAACGAAGAAGAAGACAAAATGGTAGAAGAAATCGTCGATACATACCAGGATGAAGTTAGGGCTTAACGAATAGAGGATTCAAAGTCAATTAATGAAGAAATCGAGGAACAGAAGTCTCTTTTCTACCCAAAATCTGAAGATATGCAATGTTTATTTGATGGATGATTTTCTACTCATTGTCGTTTTCATGGTCTCATATTTTCTTTTATGTTCTTCACTTTTCCTGTGGCTGTTGGGCAACTTTTTCTTTGCAAGACTTTTGTGCCTTTTTGTTCGTGGGTCTGTTTTTATGCATTAAATTCTGCTGAAAGGACTGCACATGTCCTTCTCTAATTATATTATATTATATTATATATATTATACATTATATTTAATATATATATTTTGTAATTGTACACTTCCACTTTAATATTATTTATTATATATATGGATTGCCATTTTTTCATCTTTAAGAACTATATATATGATTTTATATAATATATATATATATATATATGTAAACATTTATTAAAAAAATATAAAATAAAGTGAATCTTACTATTCATGATTTGATTCGATTTAGGATTCATTTTTTTGAGAAACCGATTCCCAATTCGATTCACGATTTGACAACCACGGGATTAAGTTTGATTAATTAAAACTAACCTTGGTTAATTAAGTTAATGGGTCAATTAATGAAACACTTACATTAATTAATCAAATCCTACAAACAAAAGAGAAGCTTGGAGAGGCTTTGAGAGAGTTCTTGATAGTTGGAGAAGTTTGGTGTTTTTGAAGGAGAAAAAGATGAGAAAGAGGAGAAATCAAAAGATCAACAAATCCTAAGCTTGGAAAATCAAGAGAAAATCATCAATAGGTAAGAAATTCAACCCTCTATCTTGTATTGTTGCTTTAATCTAGCTAAAAAATCATCTAGGCTAAGATTTGAGAAGATTGAAATGAAGAAAAATGAAGAAAGTTTGAAAGAACTGTTAACATATTATATCATTATCTGGGTCATTAGTTTGTAATTATTCTATGCCTCAAGGCTCCCTTGTAATTTTTACAAACTTTAATCTTCATTAATATAAATAGGGGATGATATCCTAATCATACCCTAAGCTGGTTACTCTCTAAAATCATCATGGTATCAGAGCAAAACCCTAACATCTAGACCTATTACAAACCAGAGCCACCAGCCACCACAGGAGCCAGTTCCTCTCTCTCTCTGTCGCCTCAAGCCGACTCCACCCTGAGGGGCTTCGGCTCAAGCTGAGAAGGACCCACGTAGTTTCGGGTGGGTTGATGCCTGTCTAGGGTTTCGGCTCACCCTTGTTGGTCGAACTCAGCAACAAAGATCACTCTAGGGTTCGAAACTTACCTGGGTTGGTTATCCACTGGTGTCGACTACTCTTGGTAGCCCCTCTGCCTCAGTCGACTTTCCCCATGCCGTCATCTCTTGAACAGCTTCAGTCGTCGCTCATCACTTCAGTCGTCGCTCATCTCTGGTATGCTTTAAACGTCGTTGATCTTCAGTCGTCGCTCATCACTTCGTTAATGTCTGGTATTATCTCTGTTTGGGTTTACATCTCATATGTCGTGTAGTGCCTCCCTTTGATCTTAAACACAGCACAAAACACAAATAAACAAACAAACAAAAAAATTCTTAATTTTGTTATGCCTTTATAGTGGTCATTGTGGCTGTTCTTCCACCACCACCTTCCGGGTTTGTGATTGCCACTAGTTTTGTTACGGGTTCGATTGTATAGTATCCATGGTAGATTCCACCAGTGTGTCCACTACCCCTCAAACACAAACACCTAGAAGTGAGAGTCCCATCAGACCTACTACTATGCCTGATAACACTAACCCTAGTCTAAAAATCACCACCTCTCTATTTAATAGTCAGAACTATCTAGCATGGTCTTAGAGTTTGACTATTTTTTTGAAGAGCAGAGGGAAAATGGGATATGTTGATGGCAGGATACAGACACCTAGCACCACTGACCCGGGTTATGACCAATGGGAGATTACCAACTCTTTGATTATGGGTTGGCTTATTCATTCGATGGTTCCAGAAATTAGTGAGGGCTACTAGTCTATGGAGACTGCCCAAGATGTTTGGAATGCTGTGGCTGCCACCTATTCCTGCAAAGGAAATTTCTCACAGGCATTTGAGTTGCGCCGCTCTATTGAGAGCTCTATTCAAGGGGAGCAGACTGTTCTTCAATACTTCACCTTCCTTACCAACGGCTGGAAACGTCTTGATCACCTGCAGGACTATAAGCCTGTTTGCACCACTGATTTTGTCGGGTACAAGAAGTTCATCGCACAGGAATGGGTCTTTAAATTTCTGGCAAGCCTAAACATGGAGCATGATCCGGTTAGGAGTCGAGTTCTAGGTATGGACACTCTTCCTTCACTTCAGGAGGCATTTGCCTATGTACAGAATGAGGAGAGTCGCCGGTCTGCTATGATGTCCCTTGTCTCTACTGACCGCTCAGCATTACTGTCTACCCCTCGAGATGGCCTCAGCCTAACTCCCATCCCTCCGTCTGCCGCTAAGGAGTCTGTATTCTGTGATTATTGTAAGAAGCCGCGGCATACTCGTGAGACGTGTTGGAAGCTTCATGGGACTCCATCCGGGGGTTGAGGTGATCGGTCTGGTTCTAGAGGAGGTCGGTCAGGCTAGTCTAGAGGACGTGGCTCCTATTCTCGGGCTCATCAGTCTAGTGCCGTTGATACACTTGATTCTAATTCTACTTCCGTTGGCCAAGCTTCTGATGCTGTCTCTGTCACGACTACTAATAAGCTTGAGGATGTTCTGCGTCAATTGCTGGACCGCCGGTCTTCTACTACTCTCAGTATATCTTCATCGTCATTTGCCCGCTCAGGTAACTTAGCCTCTTTTCCTTGTGTTTTCCTATCTCATAAGTCTTTGCCTTGGATTATTGATTCTGGTACCTCAGATCATATGTCTGGCTCCTCTGATCTTTTCTCTGCCTGTAAGCCCTCTTCAGGTCAGGACAAAGTTAGGATTGCAGATGGTACTGTTTCTTTCATTTCTGGGAAAGGTTTAGTCCAAGTCACTCCTAGCATACCTCTATCTTATGTTCTCCATGTTCTCAATTTTTCTGTTAATCTGTTATCCTTGAGTCGTCTTACCCAGGATTTGAATTGTAGTGTGACGTTTTTTCCTGATCATTGTCTTTTTCAGGACCTTGTCACGAAGAGGACGATTGGCAGTGGTAGTGCAGAAAATGGTCTCTACTTCCTAGATCAACCGGACAAGCTTGCTTATTCTTCTACCACGCGTTCTACTACCCCCGCTAATTTATGGTTGTGGCATCGGCGTCTTGGGCATCCTTCTTTTTATTTACTTAAGCATTTATTTTCATCTGGTTTTGCAAATCATCATGTGTCTGACTTTCTTTGTGAGTCTTGTCAACTTGGAAAACAACACAGAGCTTCTTTTACTGCCAATTTTAATAAAAGTTTAGTT